CGAGAAGAGAAAATAGGAAAGGAGCTTAACAAACAGCTTGAATACCACGTTTGAAAGAGTGAAACTGTAGTTTGATAACAAGAGAAGCCATTTTTAGGTTGAATCCTCATGAAAAGTAAACTCCTGCTTGGACAGGCAGCCCGGCTTTATTAACTGAAGCTGAGCTGTAGGAGAGCAGAGCTTAGTTTGGTTTTCCCTTTTTCTCCTTTGCTCCTTGCTCACTGCCTCTCCAAAGACAATAAATATTTGTTAAATGAACACATACACCTGAGAACTCCAGCTTGGTGTTTCAGTAAAAAGCAAAGATTAAAATGTTTTCACAGCAACTAAGTAATATGATGTTTTTAAAAAAACATTTGAGAGTTTAAAGCATTTTCAACAAAATTTTATATGCATTTGAAAAACCACTACCAAAGACAGAAAATTCATCAGGAAGTTTATAAAGAACCTAACTGATACTCGGACTGTAAATAAGTAAGATCATTTTTCTAAACTTTAAAAAAATATGAATATTAACTAGAAACCCCAAGTGTTCCTTCCCTGAGTTCTAAAATGCTATATTCACTAATACCAAAACATTTATGTCTGAAAGATGTAAGTATATATTTTTACGTCTATAAGAAATGAGAATATATTTTTAGGCTGTGCCATAATTATTTTAAAAACATTTTATTGAATCAGAAAATCCAGGTTTTTTCTTTTTACAGATCCAACTCTGAATTCACATGATAGACAGTAATGGCTATGGCTTCACACTTAAATAATGTACAGGTTTAGAGAACTAGTAGGAGCTGTGCAGCGCATACTCACTAACTGCCATGGTTCCAAAGGGGTCACTCAGACCCACTGGGTCTTGCCTCAAAGCCTCTGCTGTCTTCTCACCCTCATTTATTATTACTCTCATTGAATAAAAATAGCACTCACAATTTGAAAACTATGTTTAAACAATACCAACCAATACCAATATTAGAACGGAGCTGAGAAAAGTGTCAGAAGACTTGTATAGGAAGACCTTCGACTCGCAGCACACTTGCCGAGGAAACGGCACAACTGCATGGTGCACGGCTCGAGAACTCTGAACGCCTCCAGGAAAACACAGCCTCCCTGCACTTGAACGAAAACTCTTTCTTGAGCAATGAACTGGGACTTGTCTTAACCAACTGTGTGGGGACTTAAAGTTCATCCTGCCCTTTTCAAGGTGCAAACTTCAATCCTTAATTGGCATCAACCACAGTGAACTTCTTTCTGGCACAAAAAAACATAAATTGTTCCTGTCAGAGAACTATTTGGCAAAATTGCTCACTTGTGTGTTTCCTTATCTGGCAGGTATATAAATTCACTTGCATTTCCAATCACTGTGTCAGTTTTGTCTTTCCTTCAACAAATTTCAAGTGGAAGTTACAACAACTGTAGTTTACCTTATGATGTTGTTTTCATGCCTTTTTTTCAAAAACATGGTTTATCACTTGCTACAATTTGCTATTTTCCAACACAAAATATCCGTTCTTATATTTCTATTAGCTTATCATTTGGAAAACAACAAACAAAAAAATAAAGTTATGGGAAAACCATAAATCCCCAAATCCTGAATGCATGAGAAGATAGAAAATTGTACCAAAATAAGTCTAATGAAGTTCTGGAGATTCTAAATGTAATACTTTCACACAGACAGGAATAATGACAACACTAAATTATAATGAAAAACTTTTAATATAGTACAAATTATCCTCAGAGTGATATTACAATATTAAATCTCTTCATCCAAAATTAGAAAACATTTAAATAGAAGGCACTAGAATTTCTAATTAGTTTCCTCTAGTTCTTTCCTAGCTTTAAACTCACATCTTGTGCTGAGCAAATGTCATCTCCTCTCTGTTGTGTTTCCTGACCAGCCTCAGAACTTCTGGCCTAACTAACTGTCTCATCATCAGGTTCTCAAAGTACGTCCTAATCAATCCTAGCACAGAATTTATCATGCTTTATTCTAGTTAATTGCATATGTCTGTTGTTCTAATAGGACTTTGTTTCATAAAAGCACAAGCTCTGTCTGATTTACTTTTGGATCATTTATAGCATCCGACACAGTTCCTAGTAAGTATTACCTTGGTGATCATTAAATCTGCTTCTACCACATGAAATTTTGTTAAGAGATCGTATGTTACGCAGAAGATTTTCCCTAAGCCTCGCATCTCTGCTGGTGATGTTCTACCTGAATTTCATACACAAATGTGTATAATACGTGTGTACGTGTTTACAAGTCTGAAATTCAAAAGTACCATAATTTATAGACAGCCATCAATGGTTTGTTAAATAAATCACGCACCATTTAATTAACAAATGGTATACACCCAGGAAACTTCTCACAAATGATTATGTTTGATGACAGAAATATAAACAGAATCATAATTAACAAATGGTATACACCCAGCAAACTTCTCACAAATGATTATGTTTGATGACAGATATACAGAATCATAATTAACAAATCTGGTATTCTTCTTTGTTAAAATATATTAGTAGTAATCCAGGACATGCACAAAGCATTTGAATGGGTAAATGAGTAAATTAATAAAAAGTAGGCAACTCTTAGACCTCATATGTACCATGCTATTTTTCCTTACTGATGCAATTTCCCATGATATAAATTTAATTTCTGCCTACTTTGGTTTAAAATAGCTTTAAGTATTCATATATGTAATTAAGCTTAATATATTTGATCAGAGAGGAAAAAGGGAAATTATCTAAAAATAGATTAAAAACACTCTCTATAAATTTACGATGTGACACAATGGACAAATAGCGAATTTGGATTTTGATAGATGTGGGTTCCAATCCTGGCTCACTTAACTGGTTGGTGATCTTGGGAAAAGTACCTAATCTCCCTGAAGCTTTAAAATAAAGATGATATGGAACTTATCGTGAGGATTAAATAAAACAAAGCATGCAAAGTTGTAGACAGAGTTACTATCACCCAGGAGGCACTTGATTGAGTTCTTTTAGCTATTATATCGCTTTCTCTGTCAAATTCCAGGTTTGGGCCTTAAGCATCTTTGGTCCCAGAAAAGACTGATGAGAAATTTACCAGAGGTATGAAATTTGTAGCTAGGCTTAAAGGCACCTTATTTTCTGGCCAAGTCAAGAGAGGTAACTAGGCTTATGTAACAGCCCAGAAATGTAGACACAAAAACAACACAAAGTAAACCTTGGTCACAAGCAAAGGAGGCAAGAGATGTGAGTGGTGACATGCTTTCCATCCCTCCATCAGCCAGAAACCAAGCGGCTCACTGCTCAGTCACTCGCACACACTCATACCCTTTTAGAGCTGGAAAAGAATGTCTAGAAATCCTGGGTTTATTATCAGGGAAACCGAGGCTTAGGGGCAAAATAACTTGTCTGAGCTTCCATAGCTGGCTGGAGGCAGATCTAGGAAAGGAGCCCAGCTTTTCCAACATTTGGTCCAATACTCTTTCTTCTAAGCAGTCATGCCTGTCCTTGCTTGCTCAGACGAACAAGGTGATACCAGCCAGGACAATGAATTTCCAAACTCTTGATCAGCTACCTACTGTACAAATCTTCCAAAGGATACACACCAGAAAACACTCACAGGAAATGTACACTTTTTCCTTCTAATTAGGGTTTGCTCTCCTCCCTCTCATTCCCATCTCCTTTCTTGCCCCAGCATTCGGGGCTGAATCTTGTGCAAGTTTCAAGGACTCTTACTCTCCCTTTGGCCCAAGGTCTGGATGAGAACCAAGCAAAGGAATGCGATCAGTGTTCACTTCCCATGGGTCCCTCTGATCATGCTTGGCTTTCTAAGACCAGTAGGTATCCCAAGCAGGAGGCAGCCATGCTCATTGTACCACCTTCACAGATGGAGAGAGCCCAGCTATTAAAAACAACCATTAAGAGCAACAGCAACTATCATCTTATAAACACTTACTACACAATTAGCAATATGCTGGGTGATTTAGATATATTATCTCCTTTAATCTCCACGTAACCTATAGGGTAGGACTTACTATCTTTATTTTATAGATTTATAGATAAGAACGCTGAGATCAAGTGACTTACCTAAGGTTATGCAATTCAGTGGTAGAGTTGAGTTTCTAACCCAGAGTTCTTACCAGTTACGATACTACCTCTCTTTTCTGTAGAGAGGTGAAAGAGTGTTTGCTCCAGTTAAACGTTCTTTATAGCAAATTCCCTCCATTCACTAAGTTACATCCTCCACTGAGGCAGCCCCATTTTACATCATTAAAGACATGATTTTCTCACACACACATCAAAACTTCCTTCTGTGCAGAAGAGAAGATGTAAGAGCAAGGGAAACACTTGAAATTCCTCCTAAACAGAGTTTGTTCTTTAGTGAGGAAGAGTTTAATTATTTTTTATTCAGAAGGGACTCTATCTCTACCTGTAAACTGCTTTTCTGAAAGTTCAGGGAGCTCCAATTAAAAAAATCATGATTTTCTTTCAATAAATCATACAGGGGGAAATGGTTTTCTTTAGGTTTCTTTTTAAATGGGTATGGGAAGAAACAGGTCAAATAAATACATAAGAAAATATGCATTTGCAATATCCTTTCTGTCTACATGTGTGTTGTATGTGCATGTGTGTGTGTGCATGAATATGTATCCATACACATATTCTTCTCACTAAGACACACGTGTCATTCTGCATCACTAAATCCAGTACTCCGTAGTTGCTCTTGATCTATCAGCGGCAGCAAAGCCAGCGACTGTGCTGGCTCTGGAAGTTCCATGTGGAACGAGACAGCCCTGCTCTTAAGGAGCTCTCAGTAACGGAGACATGTCCTTATAACCCAGGAGCCATACACATTCAAGTAATTTACCAAAGGAAATCAACTTTCATACGTAATTAGAATTTCTGTTCTTAGTTCCAAGAAATAAGTCACCCTATTGTTAGAAGATAGGGTCATAAAATTAACAATTAATTTATAACACACACATTACCATTTTCCTCAGCATGGCTTATCTTACCTTGATCTTTTGGTGACACTGATAAAGAATTCTGCATTCTGATGTATTTGACTTGAATAGAACTTCCCTAAAAATAACCAAGCACAAATAATAATTAGAACATAATTGAGATGCCATGTTAATACATACAAAAAATATAAATTATAAGCTTTTTAAACAGTCTATTAATAACTATACCTTGTTTTATTGCACTTTGCAGATATTGTATTTTTACAAATTGAAGGTTTGTGGCAACTCTGCATCGAGCGAGTTTACTGGCACCATTTTTCTAACAGCATTTGCTCACTTCAACTTTCTGTGTCACATTTTGGTAATTCTCAAAATATTTCAAAATTTTTCATTATTATTATATTTGTTACTGCGATCTGTGATCACTGATCTCTGATGTTACTATTGTAATTGTTTCGGGGCTCCATGAACTGCACCCATATAAGATAGGGAACTTAATCGATAAATGTTGTGTGTTCTGACAGCTCCACTAACCAGCCGTCCGCCCATCTCTCTCCATCTCCTCAAGCCTCCCTATTCCCTGAGACACAACAATATTGAAATTAGGCCAATTAATAACCTTACAATGGCCTCTAAATGTTCAAGTGAAAGGAACAGTCGCACGTCTCTTACTTTAAATCAAAAGTTAGAGATGATTAAGCTTAGTGACGAAGGCATGCCAAAAGCTAGGCCTCTTACACCAGTTAGCCAAGCTGTGAATGCAAAGGAAAAGTTCTTGAAGGAAATTAAAAGTGAACTCCAGTGTACACACAAATGATAAAAAAGCAAAATCACCTTACTGCTGATACAGAGAAAGTTTTAGTGGTCTGAATAGAAGATCAAACCAGCTACATCATTCCCTTAAGCCAAAGCCTAATCCAGAGAAAGGCCCTAACTCTCTTCAATTCTATGGAGGCTGAGAGAGGTGAGGAAGCTACAGAAGAAAAGGTTGAAGCTAGTAGAGGTTCGTTCATGAGGTTTAAGGAAAGATGCCATCTTCATAACACAAAAGTACAAGATGAAGCAGCAAGTGCTGATGCAGAAGCTGCAGCAGGTTGTCCAGAAGATCTAGCCAGGATAATTAATGAAGGGGGCTACACTGAACAACAGATTTTCAATGGAGATGAAACAGCCTTCTATTGGAAGAAGATGCCATCTAGGACTTGCATAGCTAGAGAGGAGAAGTCAATGCCTGCCTTCAAGGCTTCAAAGCACAGGCTGACTCTCTTGTTAAGGGCTAATGCAGCTGGTGACTTTAAGTTGAAGTCAGTGCTCATTCACTATTCTGAAAATCCTAGGGCCCTTAAGATTTGTGCTAAATATGCTCTGCCTGTGCTCTATAAATGCAACAACAAAGCCTGGATGACAGCACATCTGTTTACAACATGGTTTACTGAATATTTTAAGCCCACTGTTGAGACTTGTTCAGAAAAAAAGATTCCTTTCAAAATATTACCTGGTCACCCCAGAGCTCTGATGGAGATGTACAAGATTGATGTTGTTTTCATTCTGCTAATGCAACATCCATTCTGCAGCCCATGGATCAAGGAGTAATTTCAACTTTCAAGTCTTATGATTTAAGAAACACATTTCGTAAGGCTACAGCTGCCATAGATACTGATTCCTCTGATGGGTCTGGGCAAAGTCAACTGAAAATCGTCTGGAAAGGATTCACCATTCTAGATGCCATTAAGAACACTTGTCATTCACGGGAAGAGGTCAATATCAATAACAGAAGTTTGGAAGAATTAACAGAAGAAGTTTGGAATAATTAACAGAAGTTTGGAAGAAGTTGATTCCAACCCTCATGGATGACTTCGAGAGGTTCGAGACTTCAGTGGAGGAAGTAACTGCAGATGTGGTGGAAACAGCAAGAGAACTAGAACAAGAAGTGCAGCCTGTAGATGTGACTGAATTGCTGCAACGTATGATAAACTTCAACAGTTGAGGAGTTGCTTCTTATGGATAAGCAATGAAAAAGTGATTTCTTGAGATAGAATCTACTCCGGGTGAAGACACTGTGAAGACTGTTGAAATGAGAACAAAGGATTTAGAATATCACATAAACTTAGTTGATAAAGCAGCAGCAGGATTTGAGTGGATTTTGACTCCAATTTTGAAAGAAGTTCTACTGTGGGTAAAATGCTATTAAACAGCATCGCATGCTACAGAGAAATCATTCATGAAAGGAAGAGTAAACCAATGCAGCTAACTTCATTATTGTCTTATTTTAAGAAATTGCCACAGCCACCCCAACCTTCAGCAACCACCACCCTGATCAGTCATCAGTCAGCAGCCATCACATTAAGGCAAGACCCTCCACTAGCAAAAAGTTTATGACTCGCTGAAGGCTCAGATGATGGTTATTATTTTTTAGCAATAAAGTATTTTTAAATTAAGATATGCACATTGTTTTTTTAGACATAATGCTATTGCACACTTAACAGACTACAGTATAATGTAAACATAACTTTTCCATACACTGGGAAAGCAAAAAATTCGTGTGACTTGCTTTATTTTGATATTCACTTTATTGTGGTGGTCTAGAACTGAACCCACAATATCTCCAAGGTATGCCTATAATAAGAAACGAAATGAACTATTAAGAAACCGATGTTTTTATCTTCTTCTCATTTTTATACAGATAGGATTTTACTGAACGTATTGGTGTGGGCTTGGAGAGGAAAGCAATGGCACATTGAGAGATGGGTATTATCTGCATCTCTGCCCTCATGGAGTCAGGGAAATGTGCAAGCAGGCTAGGTTAAGGTTCTCTAAAAATGCTCTGCCTGATAATTTTGTTTCACATACTCTGTTTAAGAAGAAATAACTAAAATGTTTAACAGTAGGGTAAAGGTCATATAATTGCAAGATAATCCTTTGATGAAATATAACTCAGTCTTTAAAATGCAATTAGGAAGACTATGTAGCAACACAGAAAATGTTGATGATATAATGCATTGGATGAATATACTAAATGACATACACACTGGAATTACAACTATATAAAAAACAAAGGCACAGAAAATGCACGGCAGACAATAAGCTCATACATATATTGGCATTGTGTTTGGTCATGGAATTACAGGTGTTTTCCCCTACATTTTAGCTATTTTCCAAACTGTCTATAATATGAGGTTCCATATTAATAAACTATTTGAATATAAAAATAAGACAATTAGATTTATTGAAAAAATATAGGTAAATATTTTTATTAGCTTTCAAACTACAAGTGTTCCTAAGCATGACACCAAAGACAGAAGCCATCAAGGTAAAGACTGATGAATTTTTCCAATTAAAATTTTAAGTGTTTTTTAAATAGAAAGTTAGGCAAAATTAAAAGGCACAACTTTTGCTTCCAGCCTACACTGAGTAATAAGAGACCAGATTTGCCCTCTTGCCTGAAATAACCAGTTTAGACTGTTAAAAGACTGTACTTGCCAATTTGAGGATCCAATTCTCTATGAAATTGCCTAAAAGCAAGTATAGTAAAAAAAAAAACAAAAAAAAAAAACATAGATAAAGTATAGGAAACAATATTTCAAAACACTAGACATCAGGTCACAAGGAAATCTTTGAGAGACAGGAAACAAATGAGATGAGCCCTATGACTATGTTGTAGGAAGGGAGAACCCTAGTGGAGATTCACAGAGTAATGGAGAACAGAGAGCTAGAGAGAGAGAGAGAAATGAAGTATTCCCCATCAAGTATTCATTGTGTCTTGATCAGCACATCCAAGTAAGGCAACTACCCGAGGCCAGGGAAAGATCCAAGATGCTCAACACTCACAGAAGGACAGGAATACTGCCTGTTTCTGCCAGCCAGACTGAAAATTCACAGGAAATTGGGTAGTACAAAGAAGGGTCTTGCCTTAGCCATCAAGGGGAAAAATTAGTCCTAGACTGAGCATTTCTCTGGTTTCAAGATCTAAGGGATCGAACTGTTTCCAAGTGTCTTAACCGTGTATCAGAACAAAGCTCAAGAATATTTATAGAAATACAAAAATATCCATCACCCAACAAAGCAAATTCATAAGGCCTGACATCTAATAAAAAATCATCAAGCATACAAAGAAGCAGGAAAACATGAGCCATAAAGTAGAAAATAATTAAAACTGACCCTGAACTGACACACGTTAGAATTAGCAGACAAGGACATTAAGTCTACAATTGCATTTCACATGTTCAAAAAGTCAAGTATAGAGAGGAAAGATATAAAAAAAGACCCAAATAAAATTTCCATAAATGAAAACTATAATATATAAGATGAAAATACACTTGATGGGATTAACAGCAGACATGTCAGAAGAAAATATTAGCAAACTTGAAGGTGTAGTAATAGAGATTATCCAAAATGAAACTCAGGAAGAACAGATTTTAAAAAATGAACAGATCATCAATGAACTATAGGACAACTTCAAGAAGGCTAATATATCAGTAATTGGAGAGAAGAGAGATGGAAGGACAGAAAAATTATTTTAAGAAATAATGCCAGAAAATTTTCCAAATTTGTGTAAAGCTATAAACACACATCCAAAAATCTCAAAAAACCTGAAGCACAATAAACATAAAAACTACACCAAAGCACATCATGACCAAATTGCTCAAAACTAGTGAAAAAAAGAACATTTTAAAGGCTGACAGAGGAAAAGACACATTACATATAGAGGAACAATGATAAGCATGACAGCAAATTTGTTGGAAACAACGCAAGTGAGAAGACAGTGGAACAACATCTTTAAAGTACTGGAAGAAAAAAATCTAGAATTTAGAATTCTATGGCCAGAGGAAGTATCTTTCAAAAATAAAGAAGAAACAAAGACATTTTTGTACATACAAAAGCTTGAGGAATTCATCACAAGCCCACTCACACTATAAGAAACACTAAGTAACGTTTTTTAGGCAGAAGGAACATGATACCAGATTAGAATATGAATCTACATACAGGAAAAAAGAATACCAGAAATGGGAACTACATGGTAACTATATAAGCCTTTTTTCTTAATATTTAAATCTCTTTAAAATATAACTACCTTAAATAAAAAAAAATGCAGTGTGGCGTTTATAACATATATAACAA